TGAAAAGCCGATGTTAAAGGTTGCCCGCTTAGATTCAAAGGTTTTACTAACTTTAAACATGATACGTGATAGGAAGTGCACCTTACGTACATTTTTTAAGTACATAATGAAAATTAAAACATCAATGTTATCATTACTTCACTTAACGTCATTTGACGTAAAATTTGAACTGTCCAGAAAATGTTTCATAAACTTTTAGATCATAAGAATGAATTAAAAATATATAAACAATAAAATTGTTTTAATATGATTACCATCCGAATAATCCTATTAATTTCACAAGTGACTTATTCCAGTTTTCGTATTCAGGCTATATACCCATAAGTGGAGCCCGTCTGCCAGGTAACGTTGGAACCAAAAGGCTAAGTTCTGAACAAAATTTATGAATTACAAATATGTCAGTTTGAAAAAATTTTTTTTTTCATGGTTTCAAATCCTCAAAAAAAATATAGTTTTCCGTTTACTTCCCAAAAATAAAGGTTACAAAAGGCATTTCAGTAAATAAATATCCTCTTTGGAAATACAAAATTATGTAATACATAATTCTTCACATGACTATTAATTCTGAATTAAAATTATCCAACATTTTTAGTTTTTTTTGGGTAACATAAAATTATTCATTCTATACAATCGTTCATCGTATTCACAATGTTGCTAACTTCAGTTGTAGTATTGGTATGAGTACAAGAATTCACTTGTCGATCTGTTTAGACAAATAAACAAAGAAAACCCAGAAGTTGTTAAATATGTTTTTTATTATAATTGTTGCAACGTTTCGTCAGGTATATTTCCTGACATCATCAGGCTAAAAAAAAGTTAAAAAATTGAATAAAAACTATATATATTACATCAAACATCACACCTCACAATAACACAAGAGAAACTTAAAACTACGGACCTGTTTATTTCGTGGGAGCGAACTGTCGAATACAGTTCACGTTGAACGTATATATTTTGAATTGTGAGTAAAAGTAACATACACAATATACATACATAACTACACACAGTCACATGAATATGACTAGAAGCGATTTGAAGTTTGACTAAGCGAATTACACAATACTCAAACGCGCGGTAGAAAAGAGCTGGGCGATATCAACTTATAAAATTTTACATACGATCAAAACAATAGGACTGAAGTTACAATTTAAAATTAGATAGTATACCTTTAAATATACGATTCAAGCCTAAAGTATCTTCCTTTTTATTTACAGTATTTTTAAACTAGTCAATATGTAACATTTCTACGATCAGTCTTTTTTGCCAATTACTTTCTTTGTGTGAAATTTTTGTATCGTCATATTTAAATTTATGATTACATTCAATTATGTGTTGATTTATTACAGATTCTGGAATTTTATTTTTTATATGCTCGTTTTTTATTTTTGTACCAGTCGGTTATAATGGAAGATTTAAATTTAATAAACAT